CGTGCAAGGCTCTCGGTGCGTCCATCATCCTTTCCCCTCTGGTTTCAACAATTTACTTTTATATCAATGCCTTCTTAGAGTGCTTTTTTTATAATTCTGCGAAATGTCCCCATCATATGGTATTTATTCTCAAAAGAACGGATTTCAGGAACCTTTGATCTGTCCGGCTGTGTGCTGTATACGTCGTGCTATCCTTGTCCAATGTGCATGGGAGCTCGTCTTTGGGCCCGACTTGATGCCATCTACTACGGAGCGTCAGCAGAACAGGTTAGCGTACGGATGAAAATAACCATGAATGAGCGATTGTCTTTTGAATCGAATCATCAATCATCATCCAATTACATTGTTTTTCGAATAGTGTGCCATCATTTCAAGCTTACCATACGGTCGAGTAGTCAAGTATGAAGGTATTACAGGCAGCGGAAATCGGTTTTGATGACAAGGCTTCCCACGAGTTCTTGAAGAACCCGAAAACCGACGAGTCGCGGTAGGTTTCTACACTCAGCATTGAAACTTCTCGGCTTTATCGCCTTAAGCCGACTATTATGGCCTAGGAATAAAAGGATAAAGCTAGTGCCAATCATGTTCCATCCACTGCAGAACTGTTTTGCCCTTCGTGCATAGTCTTTAAGTTATAATTTATATGTTGTGGCAGACGCGGGCAGTAGTCAGTTTTTCCTGACGGTACCATTTAGTACCGATAGACGGAAAGACGGACGGCCTAGTATGCGTGAGAACAATAGGCACGTTGATCACCTCATTATGCGCGATGTGGTCTAGCTGCGTGCAGTGGTAGGAAAAACTGGTATTAAATGAAAAAGGACTGGCGCTCTCTGCCATAACGATTGCCTTTGCCAAGCGTGTCCGCAAATGATGCGTTGGATTCATTGCCTGGAGAAATGATATTAGGTTGTCCGGAAAGTTCTCAGCGTTTTGGGTGTTTCACTTTAAACGATCGTAACTTTTTTAATACTCATCGGATTTAATCGAAATAGGCACCATTCGAATCAGCACACTTTTGCCAATGTGACAGCAGTCGAGAAATCCCATCAAAGAAAAAACTGGGTGGTCGAGAATCCACGAAATCTACGAAGGCTTTTTTGCCTGGTCCTGATTGATGAAGTATTTTCCAGCAAGGAAGTTCTGAAAATGTTTGAAAAGGTGATAGTCGGTTGGTGAAAGGTCTGGAGAATATGGCGGTTGAGGTAGAACTTCAACCCCAATTCGTTCAATTTATGGATAGTGATTTGTGAAACGTGTGGGCGGGCGTTGTCATGCAAAGGAATCGGACCCTTTCTTTTGATAAGTGTTGGCTGCATCTGACAAAATTTTCGGTACAATTCGTCGATTTCTTCACAGTAGGGTTCTGCTGTGATGGTTTGGCCTGGTGATAAAAAGTTATAGTGGATCACACCAGCCGATGACCACCAAGCCGTGACCAGAATCTTTTTTTCGTGAGGGTTCGGCTTTGAAAATTACCTCGGTGGTTCGTCGAAATCCAACCACTGTCCGGAACGTCTCCTGTTATCATACATGACCCATTTTTCATCACAGGTGACAATTCGGCCCAAAAACAGGTCGTTTCTGCTGCGCAAAAGCAATGCAGAAGGAACCTCGAGACGTGCCGATTCCTGCCGGTCACTCCGATTGTGGGGCACCCAATTGTCGAGTTTTTTCACCTTCCCAATGCGTTCCAGACCATCTGCAACAGTGGATTTGCCAAGGCCTAGCTCTTCTGCTATCTCTCGAACTGTTTGGGATGGGTCAGCCTCAAAATCCCCCTAAAATCCTCGTCAGATATTGCTTTAGGTCGACCGCTATGAGGCTCACCTTCAAGGCTGAAATCTCCAGAGCGAAATTTATTGAGCCATTGCCGCACAGTGCTTTCTTTAGCACTATTGGGCCCCCACCGGTTAATTTGTTGAGCTGTTTCGATTGCGGATTGCCCCAATTTATAGTCGAAGAAAAAAATCGTCCGAAGTGCTCTTTTCACATGCTTGAAAAAGTCTTGAAAAAAGGGGGTTTATCAAGCAATGGTGAAACGGCAATTATACCATCAGATAGCGCAAGAAATTCTCTACAGGATGTGCTACTGAGAAGCAAGGCAGAATGAGTTTTTAATCAGCAGTGAATGTACAAAAATTAGGTGCACAAAACGCTAAGAACTTTCCGGACAACCTAATAGTATTCTGCTCGCCGTTGCAAGGTTTCGGAAGAAGTTCTGCAGAAGTACCTGATTTTCTTCGTGACGAAACTCGAGAGAGGCAACATCAGGGATCTTCGTTGGGCAGTTTCGTTTTTTTTTCAGATTACACAATGTTTTTATGTTTATGTTCTCTATTTTTTATATTTTTATTTTTTTGAGGCGGAGGTGGTGTAGTGACAAGTGGCGCGCTTACCACTCGCGCGGTCCTGGGTTCGAATCCCGGGTCGACTCCCGCCCAGGCCAACCAAGCCTTCTACCCTCCGGGGACGGTAAATTGGTACCAGATTCGTCTGGGAGGATAAACACTGACTTGTACATCGGCTGGCATCGCGAGTCATTGTAAAGGCTTCATCGCATTCGATACCGCGTTTCAGGGTGGAAGTAGAATACGTGCCTCAGCCCAAAAAAGAATTGATTGACGGCTGAGCCTTATCCATTTATCCTCAAATAATAATATTATATTGATACAGGATGTGTGTGCTTTACTATTAGTACATCTACTTCAATATACCGTAATTGATAATAAAGAGACGACACATCTTACGGAGTGTAGTGAGCAAATTCAGGAAACTCGAACATCTGTCAGCCAACAACTACCTCCAGCCATTCGAATTATGGTCGCGAAAGACTGAAAAAGTTCAGTACTGACGCACTGGAACAACAAATGGGTAGAGAATTAATTGTTTGTATCGATGGTAGCTGCTTTTATTCTTTTATTGTAGCTCTAATTATATAGTGTAGGTAGTAGCTATGGCTGCTATTTGATTTCTTCGGTGAATTCCTTTCTATATTCTAGGTTTCTGCGACGTTCACACTGGAAATATCGGTATCGCATATCACTTTGAAGTGTTGTCACTTCAACATACACATGTACTGCTTAGAAATTTTTTAGTTGTGTCTCATTGTGGATAGAAGTGTCGGAATGCGATTGCTAATAAACTGTTGACACTGACACATTTCCACGGATTCTATCGGAACAGAGTCGTCTGACGAAAAGCGACAATCATGAAGTTGAATAATTTGTGCTTAGCATGCGTCGCCACTCTTGGACAATATGGGTGGTGATCTCTAGGAACCCGTAATCTTACCGTCTTGCAAGCAAGAGGGTGTGTGAGGAGTCCTGTGGAACGCATCCAGAGCGGCCCTCTCCACCAGTGGATGCAATCCTGAGCCCGCAACAATTGTTGTACAAGGCTGTCGTGGTGCACTCCAGCCAGGGTACAGCATCCTTGTGTGAAAACATGGGGGGGGGTCGTACTTTTGCTCTGGGGAGGGGGTCGTATTTGGGGTAAGACAAATTTATTTTGATAGTTGATTTTTTCTTGTGGAAAAAGGGGGTCGTATTAATTCGTATTAATTTTTTGTGTTATATGCACCCTGTACACCCGCCGGATATACGTTGCATAGTTATTGTATACCCCCGCTCGACGACTTTTTCGCCGACTATATACTCATCGCTCGTCAGTCGGCGAAAGAGCCGGTCGAGCTGAGGGGGGGGGGGGTCGTACCAACGGGG